GATGCCTATCATAAGCCAGACACCATGTTAGTCCTAGAGATGAACAGATACAATGGGGGTATATCTAAGTAAATGGCTATAATGCACTGTCATAAATACTATGGCAGTGTGTGTTCAAAGTGTCATGTGAGCACAGAGGAGAAATGAGCCAGTCCTCTCTTGGGGAACTGGGCTAAGTTTTAAAGGGAAGTGACACTTCAGCAATGTCAACAATGGCTGCTGCTGACATCACAAAAAGAAACAAGCTGAGATTTTGTGTCTCCTGATGAGAGAACCACCACTTCCTATGACATAGTTATGCAAAAATAAATAAATACAAACAAAAATAAAATAACCTGAATTTGATTTCTGTCACTACATTCAACTCCCAATTTAGAGAAAATCGGGGGTCAGAGCAATACTAAACCAACAAAATCTAGACAGTAGGAACACTGCAGGACATACGATCTGGTTTATTCTACAAATACATGGCAAGGAAGGAAAATGTATGGAACTTGTTGAGACCCTGGTTCAAATAAAGAAACAGTTTTTTTAAAAAATATGAACAAGATGGTTGGGAAGTATAAACTCCAACTAAGTATCTTATGATATCAGAAAAATACTATTAATGTTTTAGTTGTGTAATATTATTGTGGTTATATAAAAATAAATATTGAAATATTTAAAGATGAAATAATAAGATATCAAATATCCATTTCAAAATTCTACGAGGACATTTTTGGTTAGCTGACTATTGCAAGGGTGCCAGAATGAATTTAGATAGGGGAAAAAACAGTCTTTACAACAAAAGGTGCTGGGACAACTGGATTTCCACATGCAAAAGAATGAGGTTGGACCTCTTCCTCACACCACATACAAAAATTAATTCAAAATGGATCATAGGCATAAATGTAAGAGTTAAAACTATAAAACTCTTAGAAGAAAATATAGTTGAAAATCTTCTAGACCTTGGATTAAGCAATGGTTTCTTCAATATGATACTGAAAGCACAAGCAAGAAAAGAAAAAAGAGATATATTGGACTCCATCAAAATTTAATACTTTTGTGCTTCAATGGACACCATCAAAAAAGTGAAAAGACAACCTACAGAATGGAAGAAACTATTTGCAAATCATATATATCCAGAATATATAAATAACTTAAAACTCAACAATAGAAAGACAAATAACCCAATTTAAAAATGGACCCATACACAAACAAACAAAAAAAAAACAACCTGTTGCCATCAAGTCAATTCCGATTCATAGTGACCCTATAGGACAGAGTAGAACTGCCCCATAGGGTTTCCAAGGAGCAGCTGGTGGATTCAAACTGCCAGCCTTTTGGTTAGCAGTCTGAGCTCTTAATCACTGTGCGACCAGCACTCTTAAAAAGAGGGGGGTGAGGAGAGGCAAAGGATCTGAACTGACACTTCTCCAAATAACATACACAAATGTCCAACAAGCACATGAAAAGATGCTCAACATCATTAGCCATTAGGGAAATGCAAATAAAAACTACAGTTGAGATAACACTTCACAGTCAATAGAGTGGCTATAATCAAAAAGCCAGACAATCACAAGTGTTGACGAGGATGTGAAGAAATTGGAACTCTCGTATATTGCTGGTAGAAATGTTAAATGCTCCAGCCACTTTGGAAAACAGTTCGACAGTTGCTCAAAAAGTTAAACATAGAGTTTCCATATGACTGAGCAAAACAATTCTACTCCTATGTTGAGAAATGAAAATATATTTCCACACAAACAACTCATACACCAATGTTCATAGCAGCATTATTCATAATAGCCAGAAAATGGAAGTAACCCAAGTGTCCACCAACTGGTGAATGGATAAATAAAATTTAGTGTATCCATACAATGCAATTCAGCCATAAAAAGGAAAGAAGTACTGATACATGCTACAACATGGATGAACCTTGAAAAAATAATGCAAAGTGAAAGAAGCCAGCCACATATTTTATGATTCCGTTTATATGAAATGTCTGCAAAAGGCAAATTTATAGATACAGAAAGTAGATTAGTGGTTGCTTAGGGCTGGGGGTGGGCACGGGATTAGAATGCAGATTAACTACTAATGGGCACGGGCTTTCTTTTAGGGGAGACAAATATGCTCGAAAATTAGATAGTGGTGATAGTCGCACAATCCTGTGAATATTCTAAAACATTGAATTGTACACTTGAAATAGGTGAATTGTATAGTATATGAACTATATCTCAACAAAATTTAAAAAAAAAATACTAAAGGAGTATTTAGTAGGAGGTACATAGAAATGCGATCAGCCATGGCAGACAAGTAGCTTTCTCTTTGGAGAAATTGAAGTTCATTATACTCTTACCTCTACTTTGGTTTATGTTTAGAATTTTCTTAGACAAAAAGTTAAATACAATATTTTCTGAAATTCTCAGAACTGCTTACCCAGGAACCCAAATGTTCCCTGGCCTCCCCCAATTTGTAGGCCCAGAAAGTCCATCTGCCCTCTAGAAAGGGTAGGTAGGAGATGTTTCACATACAACCCCAGCTGCTGCCGGCAGCTTTTGCCATCTTTCTACTTCACTGACCACTCTGTCCCACTCAGCCATGGCCTGGCCTCTGGGAAAATGCCTCTGCCATGACTGTGACCCCCTCTTTTCCCTCCTCTGACCTCTCTTGTCTCCTCTCTCCCAGTGAGTAGAGAACCACCTTCTTGTCACCACCAACCCTGTCAAATGTCAAACCCACAGCAGAGCAGCTGGGATGCAAGTGAGCCAGCTCTTTTCCCTGCCCCTTAGCCCTCTCTTTTCCTACACAGACTATGTCAAAGAGCAAAGCTCAGGTACAGCCCCAAAAACAACTGAGGCCCATTGACTCTCACTTTCCAGACCCAGATGCTCAGTCTCTGCTGAATGTCTTCCCCTTGGTGCTTTCTTGCTTTCCTTCCTGCCAGCCTTGTTCCAGCAATATCTGTCCAAGGAGGGAGCTAAACATCTCTGACTGCAATTGAGGCTGAGTTCCTTCCTCCCCTACAGGACTCCTGTGCCCCAGTCAAATCAAGGAAGGTGTTGGGGCAATAGTGTCAGGTCACTGGACATTAGTCCACAGTCAAGAAGACCCGGAGAGGCTCTGTAATGTTCTACAATAGTTAGGAGGTGAGTCTGTCTAGTTAGGTGAATCTGCCTGATATTTCACATTGGTGTTGTACCTGACTCAGCCAAAACCCAGGGTTACAGGGACTTGGGTATAAAATTTAAAGGGTGGCCTAGGGGAGAAGATATGTTAAGGAACTGAAGCACAGCTGGGACAGAAGTGTTGGAGAGGAGGAAAAGAGGCTACATAACACATGGTAGAAGCAGAATTTCCAGGACTTGGTGTCTTAGTTATCTAGCACTGCTATAACAGAAATATCACAAGTGGATGGCTTTAACAAAGAGAAATTTATTTCCTCACAGTAAAATAGGCAAGAAGTCCAAATTCAGGGTGTCAGCTCCAGGGGAAGGCTTTCTCTCTCTGTCTGCTCTGGAGGAAGGTCCGTCTCATCAATCTTCCCCTGGACTAGGAGCTTCTCCGTGCAGGAACCCTGGGTCCAGAGGACATGCCCTGCTCCCAGCACTGCTTTCTTGGTGGTGTGAGGTCCCTCTGTCTCTCTGCTCATTTCTCTCTTTTATATCGCAAAAGGGATTGCCTCAAGACACAATCCAGTCTTGTAGATTGAGTCCTGCCTCACTAACACAACTGTCACCTATCCCACCTCATTAACATCATAGAGGTAGGATTTTCAACACATAGGAAAATCACATCTGATGACAAAATGGTGGACAATCACACAATATGGGAATCATGGACCAGCCAAATTGATACACATATTTTTGGGGGACACAATTCAGTACATGACACTTGGTGACTAGTTGGATGTAAGGCTTAGCAGTGTCTCAGGAAAAGAAAGCTTTCAGTGCAGTCTGTGAAACAGAGGCATAATATGCTGACCTTGCTATCTAATTTTAATCTGGATTTCTAGACTAACAGCTATGTTTTTTGAGAAAAACATGTTTTTCCTTGGAGGTCAAAACCAGGATGTGAAACCATATGCCCCCAGGGGTCTTAACCAAGTGACCATCTTCACCCCTCAAAATAAATGTATTCAGGAAGAGTGTTGTCTGGGTCCTGTTGCCAACAAGATATTTTTGCAAGATAGACAAAGAAAATACATGTAAGCATCTTGTGATCATGATCTAAGCATCGGGTGAAACTGTTTGTAATCACTTACTATATTAATAATAATCAATAACCAATCAGAATGTGATTATTACAATATTCATTGATTTTCCTGTAATTGCCCTGCCTATGATTTGGTTCCTGTTTTTACTCCATAAGAATACTTGTATAATGAAACTGCACCTGGACTACCTGGTTCCATTTTCAATGAATTATGTGGTTCCATAAGTGTAATTGTTTTAAACCCCTAATAAACCTCTCTGATTTAACTTGAAATAGTGCTCAAGCTTTTCTCTACAACGTTTTGGTGTCAGAAGTGGGATCAAAGGCAATTTGCCTGCTAAATGACCCCAGGAGGGTACTGTGGAATGTCAATGCATGTATGAGCCCTTTGCATGCTCAATCCACTTTCCCAGCTCTTAGAAGTCATCTCCAGGTAAAACCTCTTGGACCAAGGACATTCACCCTCTTTGCATTTGAAGTCCTCTGAGGTTTGTTAACGGTCTTTTATTTCTTTACTTTCAGCTTGCTCGAGAGCATTTTGATGAGTTTGCAGCTTGTTTCAGGCTGTATGAACTCACTGTGTTTTTCTCTAAATGCCCATTAAAGTTTCTCCAGGTGTGTTTTTTGGTGAAAAGTCTCCGGCGTGGTTTTCACAGGTGTGGTTGCTGTCTTAGTGAGGATAGAGAGTACCATTAACCACAGTATGTACTCATTAAGGGGAATTTAGAGTTTTCTGTGGAATGAATTAGGATCTAAGAGTCTCTAAATTAAAATCAGTTTGAACAGTTTCTCCCTCTAATTTTAGATCTGCACTACTATCCACTGGCATAAAATTGTCTGAGAGAAATGTAAGTTTTCTTTTAATCTGTGGTGCACCATTTTTGTTTCCTCAAATGTTTTGACCATTTTTAAGTACTTTCCAAGAAAAGAGACTAATATATTTAAAATAAGAGCCTAGGCCTCTAGCTGGCAAGATAAATTAAGTTAAAAAGAATGCCCCATATGTTGTCTTGTATGTTATTTAAAACAGCCTTACAAAATAGTAAATTTATGTAATTGTTTGTCCCATTTCCTGTTTAAGTTTTTGTGTGTCTTGTCTCAAAAGCCATGACTAGCAGTTGTTAGTTTTTTTCTCATAAGGAAGCCTTTTAAGTCTTGGAGAAACTGCTTAACATGCCTAAGCTTCTAACAGCTACTTTGAAGACTTTAACATAAACTCATTCTGGTAAAGTTTTTATTGTTTTATAATATGTAAACTTAAATTAGGCTCCAGAACCCTTTTAAGTAACTTAAGCTAAATTAAACATATAAGAAAATTTAAAAATCTAAATTCTGATATTTCAGAGCTAACGCCTGAATTTTTCAGAGTTGAAAACCTGAAAGATCTTTTAACTTCTGCTTTCTAAAGTGTACACAATTTTTCTTTTCTGGCTAGAAGCTGCCAGAGACCCTAACTTCTGCTTTTCTAGCAAAAAAAAAAAAACCTTGGAAAATTCCTGAGAGTTATCCTAGCTGCTGGGTACATTCCTAAATGCTATTACAGGATAACCAGATAAGCTTATAGCTTTACAACTCCAACAACTTCAAATACAACCCAACAATTTTTTAGACTGCAAAACTATTGTTTGTTTTTTGTTAAAACCAGATCATCTTAGAAAAAATGTTTTAGGTTAAAAAAGAGAGAACAGGAACAAATTCAACTCTCTACTGCCCACAGGAGGCCAGCAATCATCAGCATAACCAGCCTCTGGGGAATTAACAGAGATTTTTCCTTTGATAACACTAAACTACAAAAAAAAGAGAGTCATTAATTAGAAACAACTCCTTCTACCCTCCAAACACTCATGATCTCTCAAAATAGTTTCATGGGTGGCCCAAGTTCTTTAGGATACCATGAAAAGGGGAGAATAAGTGATCTAAATTAAATTTCCATCCACAGTTTGAAGAAAAATTTATAACATTTAAGAATAGGAAGTTGTTTGCTGTATGCAGACATTTGTTCTTTCCTCCCTCAAACTCAGCCCACCTAATTGCTTATTAGTAAATGTCTGTTTATCAACAAATGTCTATAGTTTTTTATTTTTCAGATTTGCCTTAATTTCATGAAACTTATGATGTACTTCTTGGTTCTCAACAAATAATAGTATCAATTTATACAATTTTTGTCTAAGTTTATCTTGTCTTAAAAGCCGTGAATTGGGCTTACAGTAGCTACAGAATAGTCTATTTAAAAGTGCATGGAAGAAGATAAATTGTTCCGTTGGTTGGTACAACCAGGCCTTTAATTTATTCCAAACTATCTCTTCACAAAATCTCACTTTACCAGAATCTATATAAAATATGCAAAAGGGAAGGCAATAGTTTTCTACCTCTACATGGTATTGTTGGATTTAAGTTATAATGTTTCTAGTTAGTTTGATGAGAAATAAGTACTTGTAAAATTAAAAAGTCTCATTGTTTTTAGAAAAAGGTAAAAATAAATTCATTTTGCTAATTAAAGATTTAAAGTTTACTTTTCTAACAATAAACAACTAGAAGAGAAATTTAAAAAGAAATTTATTTAAAATAGTTAAAATTCTTATTTATTACAACTAAAGGTTTCGTAGATTAATTCATAAAAATGTTAAGAGCTTTCAATGTCAAATAGCATATGAAACCAAGAATTAAATTTCTTATGATTAAAATAACAAGATCTTCCTTAGTTACTAAGAGGTTAATTTTATTCTTTATAAAATCTGCCCCAAAGACAAGTGTTTAGGCACACCTTCTACCCAAACATTGCCAAATCCCTGGCACCTGCCTCAGCTGCTGTCTGGAAAACTGAAGTAAGAACCCTCTCCAAATGTGAAAGACCTTCCACTCAAACGTTCCCAAAAGCACTCCCTGCTAACCAGTCATGGAGCCACCCCATCCTCCCTTTCTTTATGCCTCTCTGGTGACAACAGCTATGGCCTTGCATTTCCATGGGCAAGCCCAGCTCAGGGGACTGCTCCTCTCCCTCCTTGGATAGGTCTGCTCATGTGTCACTACTGTGCTGCCCCAGCGGAAGACTCAAAATCTGGAACTGAAAGAAATGGAGACCCAGATGCCGGGGCTTTGGAAGGTCTGTGTGAATCAGGAAGAAATTGCCACTGTGTGCAAGGCCTTTGAGTCCTTCTTGTCTCTGCCCCAGGAGCTCCAGGTATCCAGGATACTCATGGTAGCCTCCAATGGGTTGGGACTACTGGGGCTTCTGCTCTCTGGCTTTGGGTCCGAATGCCTCCAATTTCACAGAATCGGAGGGGTAGTCAAGAGGTAGTTTTGCCTCCTGGGAGGGGCTTTGGAGGCATCAGCTTCAGCCACTACCCTCTTTCCAGTCTCCTTGGTGGTCCACATCACGATTCAAGACTTCTTGGATGACAGCATCCCTGAGATTGTGCCTCGACGGGAGTTTGGAGAGGCCCTTAACATAGGCTGGGCTGCTGGTATTTTCCTGGCCCTTGGTGGGCTATTCCTCATCTTCTCCACCTGTCTGAGGAAAGAAGCTGTATCCTCTCTCCAGATGGCTGATCTCACAGTCTCACCATCCAGTGATCCAGCAGATGACTCAGACGTCACCTTCCACCTAACACCAGGACCTAGGAGCTTGATGATCTAGGACCAACCTCGGCCAAGGAGTCTTTGAAATAGGGAGTGCCAGTAGAATCCTTTCTCTTCCTTACCCTTTATCACTCTATATTTGTTTGTTTCATTGAAGGGGTGGTGGTTACTGTCTCACTTGTTAATGATTTGACTGTCTTGGGCTCTGGTGATATGGTGATTCTAATTTCAAATGAAAAAACAGGGCACAGTGTCTTACAAAGATGTTTTTGTGATTTGAATACTTATTTATATAAAAATGTATTTAAACTCTAACATTGATTACATACTTGATCCTTTTATTACCAGGGAAAAGAAGATATTTTACAAAACTGCAGCATTCATGGAAAATCTAGTGTGAATAGTCACTGAATGTATAGATAGAAAAACTGAAGAAGACACCTTGGCAAATGAAAATGAATTGTTGGCCCAG